AAACCCCCTAATATAATAATAGATAAAATATCAATATGTGTATCGGCATTGCTATAGATATGTAGGTATTTGAATTTATAGAAATACAGCAAAAAGCAGCACTACCATTGAAAATGTAGATATCAGACTCATGGTGGATTCTGAATTCAAGGAAAAGAAACCACAAGCAAATAAAGGTGCATCTCATGTATCAATTCATTGCGTATATATTACTTGAGCATTTCCTATCTGAAAGGCATTGTCGGAGGTACCAGGGATAGAGTGATGAACAAAGTACTCTCTGAGATTGCCCTCTGGAGCAAGAGGAACAAAAGTGAAAATGAATTAAACACACATGTCAAAAGATAATTTCGGAGGTTGATATTAAGAGAACAAGAAAGTGAAGTAATGTGATGAAGAAGGTGGACAATTTTGAATATTGCCCCACAGCAATGCCTCTCAGAGAAAGTGACTTCTAAGCCCGGATCTGAAGAATGGGAAGGAAAAATCTGCAGATGCATCAAAGGGAGAGAACTGCAGACCAAGAACAGTTGGGAAAAGGCTCTGGGGCTGACATATTGCATTCAATAAACAAAACGAGGCTACTATGGCTCAAGGAAGTGAACAAAGAGAAGGAGATTAGAAGATGGAGGGAATGAGGCTCAGGACACAGGATGGAGCTTCTTCAAAGCTGTGAAAACCTAGAAAAGAAGTTGGATTTGTTTTCCAAGTATCCAGACATAGACTCATAAACATTAAGGTGACAGGTGCACAGTTGGTCTAGGAGAAAAGAATTACAGGTGACCAGAAGACAGGAGAAACACTTTCTCTTTACTCCCTCTATGATTTTATTTCATTGAGGTTTTTTGTTTGTTTTCTTGAGACAGAGTCTCCAGGCTGGAGTGCAGTGGCGTGACCTCAGCTCACTGCAACCTCCACCTGCCAGGTTCAAGCAATCCTCATGCCTCAGCCTCCTAAGTAGCTGGGATTACAGGTGTGTGCCACTACGCCCGGCTAATTTTTGTATTTTTAATAGAGACAGGGTTTCATCATGTTAGTCGGGGAGGTCTTGAACTTCTGACCTCAGGTGATCCACTCGCCTCGGCCTCCCAAAATGCTGAGATTACAGATGTGAGCCACTGTGCCTGGCCCCTCCCTGTATGATTTTAGAAAGTCACAGTCCCTTTCAGGTTTCAAGTACTCATATTTGCCAAGTGGAAAAGTCGAAGATGGTCATGAGATGCATTTCATATGGATGCTTCACTCTTGCTTCCCTGAGATAATGCAACCAGCATGTCCTCAGCTTGGACCTAGGCTTCAGACACCTGAGTTTTGCTTTATTTAACTAACTATGGAACCAGCATAGACTGACCTACTCACTAGAGAGCAGAGGACTTTGGGCTTGCCATGAAATATGAGAATAAGCTGCTTAAACTCAAATCCTAACCCATAGAGTTGGCCCCCTGAGCATGAATCTTGTCCTAAGGTCTACAGCACAGTTTCTGTAAGGCAAAGTCAGCGAGTTATCTGTATAACCTATTAGCTTGCTGTTCGTTATAGAATATACTCCTCCTGCTCATCTGACAACTTTCCTCTGGGTGGGGGGACACAGGAAAATCACCACCGTAGGATACATCCTTCTCATCGGACCATGGCTTAGGCAGAATTTCCTAATGACTCCTTCACAAGCCAACCCTCAGTCACATCAGAGTTTGATGTCACTGAGGTTGGGATGAAAGGGAAGGGACGGAGCCATTTCCTTTGGATCCCTGTCACTGCAGTCAAACAGCATAATTGAAAGTGTTCTCCTTTCTTGAACAGTGAGTCAGCTAGCATTCAAAAAAGGAAAAGGGCTTCTGGTTCTCAATCTTTTCTGTAGACAGATTTGAAACACAAATACCGTGGGGGCAGTTCTCACTGTTGCTCATGATAGGCATTTCCAGGAGCCCTGTGGTCAGGGCTGAATTTCTGCACAGAAGCATCATTTTAGATGAAGCTTAGAATGTGTAAAAGAACACACATGCCAGATATATGCGAGCATCTGATATTCTTCGAGAAAGTGGCAGTGAGAGGTAAAGTAGAAAGAGGACCAAAATATGAGGTCTCAGACCAGCATCCTCTCCTTGGCTGTGCCATCCCACCATGCTGTGATTTTGCATTTAACATACCTGAGCTTCAATGCCCTTATCTATTAAATGATTCCACTATTGACTTTCTTCAGCCACACAAGGAATGTTTCAAGGGCCAGAAGAGAAAATGTAAGTGCAAATATTTTCTGATTAGTAAAGTATCCTCTAAAAAATGAATACTATGAACATCAAGCTTCATTGTGGTTCAAGTCCACACAAAACACAGTCATATATACAAAGTCATGAGATTATGAACCATTTCTAAGTGAGGATGTGTTATGAAAGTCAAGGCTCTAGTATTGATTACAACAATAAGAGCAGCAAGGTTTGAGTATTTAATTTTCTTACTAGAGAACTCTTTGGTTAGGTTGAGGAATCAATCAAAGGTGATGCAAACAGGTGGAAGAATGAAGATTTCACATTTACAGTCAGGTTGAAATTGGAGCAATTAGCTTTTGAAGAGCTAAGGAGATGTAAACAACACTTCCAACATGGTTTGGCTCTATGTCTCCACCCAAACTCACCTAGAATTGTAATTCCTGTAAGCCCCACTTGGGACCAGGTGGAGGTAAGTGGATCATGGGTATGGTTTCCCCCATGCTATTCTTGTGATAGTGAGGGAGTCTCACATGATCTGATGGGTTTACAAGCGTCTGGCATTTCCCCTGCTTGCACTCACTCTGTCCTGCTGCCCTGTGAAGAAGGTGCCTGCTTCTCCTTTGCCTTCTGCCAAGATTATAAGTTTCCTGAGGCTTCCCCAACCGTGCGGTACTGTGAGTCAATTAAACCTCTTTCCTTTATAAATTACCCAGTCCCAGGTATTTCTTCATTGTAGTGTGAGAACGGACAACTTCCACATGTCATCTTCAGTGGCTCCTGTATGTACCATTTGCTATGGAACCCCTGTCATAGGCCATCATCTTCTCCTGAAAGGTCTGTTTTATCTTCTGCATATGTCTTTGGAGCAGGGATTTTGTTTCTTGATTTTACAAGTACCTAAGGATAGTAAATTGGGCTGAGAACAAGTAAGGAACATGGGAAGGAAACACTTGGGGTAAAATCTGGACAATCCAACATGTCTACATATTTGCCACATTATAAGTAAGGCCACACAGTGCAGGGAAGGTGGAACAATTGTGTGTGTGTGTGTGTGTGGTGGGGGGGAGGGGGCGTGGAATAGAACACTCCAATCAGAGCACGGTTAAGAAGTCACTCTTGTTTTCCAGTTTCTCACCTCTTTACCCCCAAACATGAAAGACTGTGAGGCAAACATCATTGTATTAGTCAGGGTTCTCTAGAGGAACAGGATAAACAGGATAGATGTATATCTGAAAGGGAGTATATTAAGGAGTATTGACTCACACAATCACCAGGTAAAGTCCCACACAGGCTGTCTGCAAGCTGAGGAGCAAGGAAGGCAGTCCAAGACCCAAAACCTCAAAAGTAGAGAAGCCAACAGTACAGCCTTCAGTCTGTGGCCAAAGGCCTGAGAGCTCCTGGCAAACCACTGGTGCAACCCCAAGAGTCCAAAAGCTGAAGAACTTGGAGTCCAATGTTTGACGGCAGGAGGCATCCAGCACAAGAGAGAAATGCAGGCTGGAAGACTCAGCCTAGTCTAATCCTTTCCCGTTCCTTTATCTGCTTTTATCCTAGCCTTGCTGGCAGCTGGTTAAATGGTGCCAGATTCAAGGTGAGACTGGCTCTCCCAGCCCACTGACTCCAATGTTAATCTCCTTTGGCAACATCCTCACAGATACACCCAGGAACAACACTTTGCATCCTTCAATCCAATCAAGTTGACGCTCAATATTAACCATCACAGCAATACGTGGTGGGATTTACAGAATAGGGTAATGGGGTTTTGTGTTTCCTTTCCAAGCCCAACAGGCTGCTTCTATAATGAATTCTTTTAAATTGAAAACGTGACTTGTTGGACAGATACCTCCAAACTCATTCAGAATGTCTTGTGGTAAGGCCTGGGAATTTGCATTTTCAAAAGCATTGTCGTGATCTGTATGCACAAATATGTCCTGGGAACTCCGATTTGCCCTCCTCCCTTTATCCTACAGAGTGCTTCCAATGGCTGAATGGAGAGTGAAGGAAAGAGACTTAGGTGGTCTCCCTTTGTCCCAAGTTCAAATTTACCAGTGAAGAGGATTTCACTGGTGCAGTCCTCATTGTGACCTCGAACACAGCTATCGTGGTATGAAGTTTTCAACGTTGACCCCATCACAGGCCTCTTCATTTTTGGTTTTGCGGCTCTTAGGTTATAAGATGTCGAATCTATTTTACTACGCTGGCAGCAGCCACATAGAACTTTCTGTACAGCATACCATGTCTTTCTTAGATGACAACTTACAGGTGGAAATGATCCAGAATGGAACTGGGTGACAGTCTACTCCTGTGCTGTCCAATATGAAACCCAGCAGCCCCAAGTGAACTTGAAATGTGGCTAGTTCAAGCTGGGATAAGCAGGAATTGTAAAATGCAGATTGGATTTCAGGCAGTGCCAAGAAAAAAAATAGAATGTAAAATATCTCATTAATAATTTTTATATTAGAATAATATTGTGAATATATTGGGTTCCATAAAATATATTACTGGGATTAATTTTAGCTATTTCTTTTTTTTTTAATGTGGCTACTGGCGAACTTAAAATTACACACGTTTCACATTGTATGTTCCACTGTGAGTGCTGGGTTAGCTTCTACTACGGATACAGAATATTTAAAACCATAATGCTAAGTGATAAAAATGGGAGCTAGATTCATATATTCTGTAAAATCTCAATTTCTCTTACACACACACACACACACACACACACACACACACACACATACACCAGAGTGATACATACAGTATTAAAAATCAGGATTCAAAATTAATACCTTTCAAGTTCTTTAAGCCTTCCATTTAACCAGGATCACGTGTTAAGTTTAGGATGCAGGGGCTTCCATGCACTAATCAAGGACCCCTCAGTTGCATGCCTCAGGGAAATGACACATGACTAGTATGACACTTGATGCCTGTGAATTACAGAACAGAGAATATTCATTCCAAAGATGCTAAAAGACTAATCTGATTTCAAGTGTCATCTGTGGTCAGCACTGGAGGGTGTGCTATTTCTTGGCATCATAGAAATATCAATCATTCGAATTCAAACCTTGTGTGCAAAATTTGGCCTGGGTACCACAGCCTTCATATACTCCAGAAGAAGATACAGAGGGTCAGAGAAACTGGGCTGCTTATGTAAACCGAATTCCCCAGCCCAATGCAGAAGTCAGAAGAAGAGGTTCAGTTTTAAGTAAATACAAGCGTTGAAACAGTAGCTGTGCTACTGCCCCGAGCCCCAGGCATTGGTGAGATTCCGAATATTCCTTCCTTCTCTGCCCCCTGGTTGTGCTTGTTCCCTTTGAAGAATAATTAAGATTTAATGGCATATTCTCACAGTTTTTTGTCTGCCTGCTTTCTGACTGCCTACTGTGCAGAATGCTTGTGTTTGATCCCGGTCATTGCAAGAACTGTACAGTAATTGCCTATCTGGTGACTCGTTAATGGAGGTCCCCAGAGAGCCAGAACGCTGCTCATTTGAAGTTCTTCTTGTTTACTGTTGGCCCTTCTGGTTTAATCTATATCATCAGAGAGCCTTGCTCAATTATTGGCAGTTCAATCTCTTCTCATTGGGATACAGGAACTGGGTAAACACATTTTTTTTTTTTTTTGCTTCTTTTACTTCTCTTTCATTTGTTTTCTTTTTTCTTTTTAAAAATATTTCTTCTTGTCTTACCCAGATGGATCCACCTCGGTAAAGCATGATGTTATCTTGTGCCAGGGGATGTGTAGACCACCTGTGACGCAGCTCTTCAGGCTGCTTTTCCCAAAGACAGCAGGTTGGAGGGCAACCAATCATATGGAATGGTTCTGCTCTCCATTTCAGGAGAAAATGAATTCTGCCCATCCTGTAGGATCCAAATGAGGGAGTGCCTTCTCCAGGAGACCTATTAGACACTGCAAACCCAACTCTGGCTGGTTTATTGGCCTGTTCACTCAGTGTTATTATTATTATTAGAAAACTTCTCAATATTAACTTTGGTCATTTGTGAAATGTTTGTCCCTCTCAACATGGGAGCTCCAAACAACCCAATGTTACATCTTCATATCTCAAACCCTGGGGTTAAAGAGCCTTCTAAGAGCATGGTTAAGGTGTGTTTGCAGACTAAGTGGATGTTCTCTAGGTCATGCTAACATTGCTCTGTCCTTTCTAGGAAAGGAAAAATTCCTCACTAGCTACCAGAGTTCCATGCCCTTCTCTGCTTAACTCTTATTGTCGGGAAATATGGAATTAGAGACATTTCTAAAATAGGAGTTTGGATGTCATTAGAGTAGGGGACCCTGTTGCTGCTAAGATTAGCACAGACAGAGGTTAGGGGTCAGAAGCTATGTAAGGACTTTGAGAAATCTGGCCAGGATGCCTCTAAAGGCTTTCAGCAGCTTAAACGTGGATAGCAACTCCAGTTGACCCAATAGCACTTTTTAAAATTAGACCTAAGCAAAGTGTCTCAGAGCTTTCCCCATGATTAATATCTGAGCATTGGAAGAGCGAACCATACTTCCCACGTGGAGGGCTAAGATCCACATGCAGATAGGTGATTAAAGACGAAGAGACGCAAGAGATGAACAAAAAGACACACTGTTGCTAATGAGGTTCAAGATCCTGAATCCAACATAAACTCTAGACTTAACTAATCATTATATGAAAAAGTACTTTTTCTTTAGTTGATTTGATCTAATTATTTCCAAAATAATCTTAATGCATAGAATTACACGTAACACGAATAGCACCACAATCCTGATGTAAATATGTTTTGTACATTTGGACAACCTTGAATTGGAAAACTTGTACCAGCAATACATTTCAAGTTCCACCGAAAATAATTATCTCAATCACACTTCCGTTCAGTCAGTCATAGGAAATTCCTTTCCTAAGTCAGGCAGCGTGGTAAAGGTACTTTTCATGTATTCGTTGATTTAACCTCGTAACAATGTCACATGACCTAATGACTTTTGTTACTATTTTTATTCTTTATTTAAGGAGAGAGATAAACCAAGGTTGAGAGTGGCGAAACAGTCTTTGTCAGTGTTGTGGATGAGATTCAAATTCAGGTTTCCCTGTCTGCAGAACTCTTCAAGATTATGCTACGTTTGTAACAATAATAATATGATTACCTGTATTTTATTGTTTACTATGGAGAATGATTAAGTAACCAGGCTTAAAGTTAAGCTTGATAAGATAATTCATATAAAATATCCCATGTTGTGCTGTGTTTTTTAGCTCATTATCCTTATAATCTTTTCAGGGGTGTGGGAATTAATTTTGCCATTTTACTGATAGGGCGGGAGACTGATTCCCCACCTGCAAATTGAAATGCTTGCCCGAGGTCCCATAGCGGATGAGTGACAGAATTCGAGTGTGAACCCACTTCTCACTCCAGTTCATCCAAGGTGAACATTTATCCTTAGGTAAACTCATTTTCAATACTTGAGCAACTTCTCTCAGGAATCCTCACATCACCAAGAACCCCAAGTCCAATTTAGAAAACCTTATTAGTCTAATAAGACTTCAGTTCCATCAGCATAATTGGCAGGCACCTCAATCGCAGAAAGTCTAATTATTCTATACTGGATTCCTCATTACTGGGCTTGGAGGGGAGGCAAAATGTGGAGAGAGAAGGAAACACTTGTCAGAAACTGCAGTTGTAGTTTGAGACCTCCCTGCAAGGCCAAAAGCTGTTGCCTGAGGTCTTGGGGGTATTGGAAATCTGGAAGAGGACGTCAGTGTACCGTTAGCCTCCTATGTTCATGTTGGTTTGGGGGCAAAATAGCCAAAAGTTAATATCCAAACTGCATTACAGGAATTAAGACTTTTAGAGAACCTCTGCAGCAGGAAAACCTCAGAACTCAGTGGCACGCTTAGCCTTAAATTACTTTGTTTCTTCTAGAAATGAAGAGTGTAAAATTAGCTTTTCTTTAGAACTAAAAACAACTATAACAAATGCACAATAGACACCCTATGCTTTTTAGACATCAAATAGTCTTCTTTTGGGGGAGGTAAAATATCACCCTTGCTTTCTTTTCTTTTCTTTTTTTTTTTTTTTTTTGAGGCAGAGTCTTGCTCTGTCACTCAGGCTGGAGTACAGTGGCATGATCTCAGCTCACTGCAATCTTCGCCTCCCTGGTGCAAGCGATTCTCCTGCCTCAGCCTCCCGAGTAGCTGGGACTACAGGCGTCCACCACTATGCCCAGCTAATTTTTGAAGTTTTAGTAGAGACAGGGTTTCACCATGTTGGCCAGGCTGGTCTCAAACCCCTGACCTCAGGTAACTCACCTGCCTCAGCCTCCCAAAGTGCTGGGATTACAGGCATGAGCCACCACTCCCAGCCCCTTGCTTTCTTTTCAGCCTTCAAAACTAATATGGCATTTTCAATGGCATCCGTAGAATACATTCCTAGAAATAAAAAGGATAACTCACAGGTGATGCACATCTTTGAAGCATTTGACATATGTTGCTAAATTGTCTACCATGTGCCAATCTTCAGTCCTCTGAATTTTCTCTTATTTCCATAATCGTTCATTGTTATTAGCTGGGTAGAAAAAAAAACTAAATTTAAATTCTGCTTTTTTAATTTACTCACTGTTTGACCCTGAACAAGTCTAGACTCCAAACTTTTGCAAAATGATGACAATAAAAAACAGTAGTAACAATACATATGTTACCTAAGATGGTCCTGATGAAGGTTGAATAGATGATGCTAAGGGCTGGGTAAGTATTGTTATCGGTGCACATATAACAAGCTCCAGTAACACATTGCAATATGTGCTCTAACAGTTAAACCCCAGGGTGCTTGAGAGCCAGTGGGAGGATCCGATAAACAAGACTTGAATATCAAGGCAGGCTTTCTGAAGGAGGTGACATCTTCACAGAATGGGTTTCAATTTACTTTTACCACTTTCAACATTTCATGGATTTTTAAAGACTCAGATTGTGATTTTCCAGTCCACATTCCAAGTCAGTCAGACTCCTGCCTCCTCAGAAGGCAAACAGTGTTCAAACAGTGTCCTGACTCTAAAAAAGCACCAGCTGACCGGGCGCGGTGGCTCACGCCTGTAATCCCAGCACTTTGGGAGGCTGAGGCAGGCAGATCACTAGGTCAGGAGATCGAGACCATCCTGGCCAACATGGTGAAACCCCGTTTCTACTAAAAATACAAAAAATTAGCCGGATATGGTGGCGGGAGCCTGTAGTCCCAGCTACTCGGGAGGCTGAGGCAGGGGAATTGTTTGAATGTGGGAGGTGGAGATTGCAGTGAGCTGAGATTGCGCCACTGAACGCCAGTCTAGTGACAGAGAGCGACTCTACCAAAAAACAAACAAACAAAAAACTGCACTAGCTATCAGAAGACAATAAATTTTCTTGTTTCACATTACACCAATAAACACTAAGTTGAATATTTTAATGTATTGATCTTTACTACATCACACTGTTCCCATTTTACAAGCTGTTTCATGATTTTTAAAATTAGTTCACTTTTAATTGACAAATAATAAGTGTGTATATTTATGAAGTACAATGTGATGTCTTGATCTGTGTGTACGCTGCAGAAAGATTCAATCAAGCTAAATAACATACCTGTCACCTCACCACCTTATCATTTTTTGGTGGTCAGAATTTTAAAAATCTATTAGCAACTTTGAATTGTACAATACATCATTTTTAACTATGGTCACTACGCAGTACGATAGTTTTCTAAAACATCCCTTCTGTCTAACTGAAACTTTGTGCCCCTTGAGAAGTATCTTCCTTTTCCCAATCCCTCCTCCTTTCCACCCAGCCTCTGATAACACCTTTCTCCGCTCTGCGTCTGTGGAATCTACTTTTTTAGATTCCACATATAAACCATTTCATACGTTAAAAACAAAACCTTTAAACAAGAATAAGATGTAACCACAGCATGAAAAGAAGCCCGATTCAGCAGTAAAAGCCACTTAATTATGTGTACATATCCAAGAGGGCTATTATGCCCCCGCTTTCTCTAAACAAAGCTTCTAAAGGAATTTTCTCTAAAAGTACCATTAAGAACTCAACTCAACTTACAAACACATGCACTCCCCGGGACTCCACCAAGACCAAGTTATTCCACTTCATTTCAACACACAACTTGTTATATCAACTAGTCAGTAGGTGTAATTGTTCCACACCAACCATTTTTGACGAAACCAATATTGGTTGATAGACTAACCTCTCAATTTGTCTTACTTCATTCTTAAAAAAAAAAAAAAAAAAAAGAAAGAAATCTATGCATTTTTGGACATCCACATGTTCCAGAATATCCATGATATACTAGAAGCACGCCTTTGGTGTTCCTTCATCTCATTCACTGGTGATCCTCTAACAATTTTAATGATATATATCTGACTTGTCCAGTATTTCCTGTTTTTACACCTGACTCAAAATTAACAAGAGGCAGTTTGAGATTATTGGAAGAGATTTGTACTTCCAGTCAGGAAAGCTGTATTCTAATCACAATCCTGCCACTGGAATCCAAGGTAAGTCATATACCCTCTCTGGGTTGTTTCTTCTTGTTTAAAATAAAAGTGTATTGAAGGGTTCAGCTGTCTATAACAAAAGAGAAGGAAGGAAAGAAGGAAGGAAGAAAGGAAGGAAGAAAAGAAGGAAGGAAGGAAGGAAGGAAGGAAGGAAGGAAGGAAGGAAGGAAAGAAGGAAGGAAGGAAGATAAGTTTATTTCTGTTTCATATAAAAATAGCCCAGTGTAGGTAAGTCAAGACCGGTACAGTAGCTCTATGGTTTCAGAGACCTAGGCTTTTAATCTTATTGCTCCACTATCCTCAGCATGTTGACTTCATGGTACCAGAGAGCTGACCTAGCTCCGGCCACCACAACCAGGTTCCAGCCAACAAGAAGGAGAAAGGACATACTCTTCTTTTTCAAGGAGACTCTCCAGAAGACTCTTGTGACACTTCTACCTATAGACCTTTGGCCAGAATTTCGTTACACATCACATCTAGCTTTGAGAGAGGTTAAAAAAAGATTAAACTTCTGGTTGGGAAGTCATGTATCTAGCTGAAAATCAGAATTCTGTCACTAAGAAAGAAGAACGAAGGCAAGAATAAGTATCAGGCAGCATCCAGCATCCCGTCTCAAAGCATTAGACCATGAGTGGCCCAGAGGCTGATATGGACGAAAAGTCCAAGCTACCTGAGATTAATGTACAATATTTTAGCATTTTCATTTCATGAAAGAATTACAAGTGGGACAGTTAATGAAACTCCTCTTGTCTGTTTCGGCATATATATTTTTGACCGAGACTGACACAGGTCACGAGAATGACTCTGCAGAGCTTTAAAAATTTTCCTAATTCTGTGCCTCTCCTAACTCTACAGGAACGCCCAAATTCTACGAAAAAGGAATCAGATGGGAACAGTATCAGGGGAAAGAAAATACCATAGTTTGCCTCAGAAATGTTTCTCTTTTCCCTCTGATGTCTCCTACTTTCTTTTAGGAAAATTTATAGCATCTTATGACCAATTTTCTATGCATAAAAACCTAAAAAATGGAGAATTTTCTAACCTCCTTGGAGCATGAATCTGCAAGGTCCAGTTGGCTGCCCGTATAGCACAGAGCTCATGCATCAACCAAGAGCAAAAGTGAGAAGCATTTTAAAAGCCTCATTTGGGGGTTCAGTGGAAGAGAAAAGAAAATGCTGGCCAGGCACGGTGACTGGTGCCTATAGTTCCAGCACTTTGGGAAGCTGAGGTGAGATAATTGTTTTGAGCCCAGGAGTTCAAGACCAGCCTGGGCAACACAATGAGATCCCATCTCTACATAAAGAAAAAAAAAAATCAGCTGGAAGTTGTGGCACATGTCTGTAGTCCCAGCTACTTGGGAGGGCTGAGATGGGAGGATTGCTTGAGCCCAGGAGGTTGAGGCTGCAGTGGGCTATGATTGCACCACTGCACTCCAGCCTGTACAACAGAGCAAGACCCTGTCTCAAAAAAAGTAATAATCTGAAAACAAAATGCTTTAAATAGAAAGTGGTGACCACCTTGACCCATACTGCTTAAGCAAGAAACTCTTGCTATGCCCCCAGTTATGTTTGGCATCACCCTAATAGGGTTGACAGAGCTGCACAAATCAAAAAGTAGGGTCAACGAAGTTAAATAATGACCAAAATGAAAGCCCCCACCACGTAGCAAAAGCAGTGCTAGCAAACTCTATTGAATTCAGATCCTGTCACTCTTGTCTGGTATTGTATCCCCAAGCACCTAGTTGAGTGTCCAGCATCTGTGATCAATAAGTATTGTTTGATTGAATGAATGAGCAAGTGAATGGCTAACTCCAAAGTTCATGTTCTTTTCCTGTATCCATCTTCCACCATGATTAGTACTGTGTTCTCCCTGCTAGAAATACTTGGCAAATCGGAAGGTGATAAAACCTACAATGGAGCAGATTCCCACTGTGCTGCAGAATTGGAAACCACATCTTATCGCTGCATAATAGCCCTGGTTCTATTTCCCACATCACAGAGAATTCAGCCTACAAGAGATTGAGTTATTCCACACAAAGACTTCACAGGAGGAAGAAAAAAAATGTTGTTTTGATTCACTCTTTTTTTTGTCATTTCAAATACAATAATGCACATTTTTATCAGAAGCTAAATGATAGTGCTTACAGTATTTAATATCTGAATTCAATTATGTTTCTGAAGGCTTATTACCATAGTAAAAGGAAAAATAGTTCAGAGAATTTCTAAAAGCATCAGGGTACAGTTGTTAGGGGAAAAGTACACACTGTTAAAGAAACTATGTACTTACATAAAAGAGAGACAGTAAGACCAGCACAGACAGAGAAACACACACACACACACACACACACACACACACACACATACACGCATGCATGCACATGCACACATACGGCAGAAACACACACATAGATAGGAAGGATAAAGAGACAGAGAGCTTCCAGTATGTTCCTCCCATGTTCTTCACAGCTCTTGCACCATCCTCTCTTTGTATCCATATGCAAAAGAATGAATTTGGACCCATAGCTTATACCATACACAGCGCTCAACTAAAAATGCATTAAAGGCTTAAACAGAAACTGTAAAACTCCTAGGAGAAAACATGGAGGAAAACTTCATGACATTGTGACATTGGTCTTGGCAATTAATTCATGGATAATGTATCAAAGCACAGGTAATGAAGGCAAAATCACCAAGTGGGACAACTTCCAAGCTACAAAGCTTCTGCACAGCAAAAGAAACAATCAAAGAAGTGATAGGAAACCTATGCAATGGAAGAAGATATTTGCAAGCCACATACCAGATAAGGGATTAATTACTAAAATATTTAAGAAACTCCTACAACTCAATAGCAAAAAACAAAAAAACCTAACAACCCAATTTGAAAATGGGTAAAGGACTTGAATAGACATTTCTGCATATGGCCAACATGTATAAGGGGAGATATTCAGCAGCACTCATCAGGGAAATGCAAGTCAAATCCACAAGGACATATCACTTCACACCTATTACCTTAGAATTATTTTTTAAAAGAAGACATG